ACCTACATAGAAACCTATTTAAAAATTAAGATCATGTAATTCATAGAATTTGTAACTCAGAAATATACTGTTAATATTACCTATGTCAGGGACCAGCAGTTGGCATAATTGCTATGTTGCTGGACTCCCATGTAGTCAACTGTGGTTTGAGTAAAAAAAAAGTGTGTGTGTGTGTATATATATATATATATATATATATATATATATGTATGTATTATCTATGTCAGTAAATATTATCTCCTAACATAATTTTTTGGCCATATTATATGCTATTTTATAGATATACCATAATTTATTTAACCAATCTGCTCCTGATAGAAATTTGGAGTTGCTTCCAATATCTTACTATTAGAAACAGTTACAAACAAATATAACTGCAGTAAATTAGAAACGCGAGTATATTATACTTCTCTGTACAAATAAATTTTAAAATAGAGATGAATGGAGCCGGAAAGTGGCATGGTGGTTGAAGGTGCTGGGCTCCCACATAACCGACTGCAGTTTGAGTTCTAGACCTGACGGCTTGCTTTCTCATTTTCTCTCTCTCTCTCTTTCTCACTCACTCTATTCCTCTCTGTCAAATTAAAATAAGTAAACAAATAAATAAAGTTAAATAAAATAATTCTTTGAAAAAAATAGAGATGAAATTGATCATGTTTAGGCATATATAAGTCACTAAAACTGATCCCAAAAGGAATAGAAAAATAACATACCAGTAAGTACAAGAAAAATATTATTTATTTATTCAGTTTTTTGTTTTGTTTTGTTTCCTATAGGATGCATAAGCTTGCCAGGGAGAAACAGCGAGAACTCACTACCCTCCCCACGGGATATGACCATGACACAATCTCTTCTACTCCATTCTCCTCTCAGGATTTTGGTCATGCACACAAGCACCCAGTGATTCGACACCAGGTCCGGGATTTTAACCACAGCTGCCCAGTGGGGTCCAGTGCCTTAACTTCCATGCTACCTGCTAGTCCAGTACAGGAACTTTTTAATTTGTGTTTGTTTGTTTGCTAAAGAATGTGTGTGTTCTCCAGAGAGGGACAGAGGCAGAGAGAAGGAAAGTGAGAAATCACTCTCAGCAGGGATGACCACGCTGTAATCCCTTCTCCATTATTCTCTCAGAACTCTGGGCATGGACGCACAAGTACCAGGTGTGTTTTATAAAGCCCAGGCCTGGAACTCAAACCATAGAGTCAGTCAGGCAAGATCCAGCCGGCTTAACCACCATGCTACTGGCTGGCCCCAGGAAGATTGGTTTAAATAGTCCAAGGGCTACCTCTTCAAAAGTTGCCACATCCATATGGTTTTCCAGGTGAAATCCCATATCTTTAAAACTTCAACTTACAGGGGCCAGTACTGGATTCTTACATGGCTGACTGTAGTTTGAGTCTCATATGGTGGCTTGAAACTCACAGGGCACATGTGTGTGGGTGCCCAAAATTCTAGGAGGAAGAGTGGAGGAGAATAGAAGAAAAGGCATTGTGGTATGGCCATACCCCCAGGTAGGTGATTTCTCACTTTCCCTCTTACTCTCACTGTCTCTCTGTCTCTAAGCAAGCACATGTGCCCTATGGTAAAAAGAAAAAGAAAATTAAAAATGAAGAGAATAACCTTAAAAAAAAAAAAAAAAAAAAAATTTAACTTACAGTATTTCAGAGAAATAAGGAAATACTTTCACATTTTTAAAAATCAGAATAACATTAATATAAAACCCCATAAAATGGCATGTGAGGGCCAGCAAGTGGCAAAGTGGTTAAGGGTGCTGGACTCTCACATGTCCAACCGCGGTTTGAGTACCAGCCCTGGAGGCTTGCTTTCTCTCTTTTCCCTTTCTATCTTTCCCTCTCTCCCTCTCTGGTCAAATTAAAATAAATAAATAAAGTTAAATTTAAAAATAAAAAGACCATTCTCACTTATAAATACTACTACAAGAATTCTAAGTAAAATTTAGCAAATATGGGGCCAGCAGGTGGTGTGGTGAAAGGCACTAGACTCCCACATAGCTGACTGCAGTTTGAGTCCCAGACCTGGGGGCTTGCTTCCTTACTTTCTCTCTCTCTCTCACTCTCTTGCTCTGTCCTTCTGGTCAAATTAAAAATAAATCAAGTGAAATAAAATAATTCTTAAAAGAATAAATAGTAAGTACAATTCAGATTTTCAAGTCCCGGACCTGGTGGCTTGTTACCTTTCTCTCTCTTTCTCTCTGGTTAAAACTGAAAAATGATGATAATAAACAGTTCTTTTTTTTGAGAGAGAGATTTTTGCTGTAGGATGCATGTGCTCACCAGCAAGACAGAGACAGAAAGCGAGAAATCACGTCCCGGGGGTATGACCACGCTGCAATCCCCTCTCCTACATTCTCCTCTCAGGATCTTGGGCACGCATACACATGCACCTGGCATGAGTTTTAAGCCATCTGGGACTCAAACTATGGTCGACTCCAGCAACGTAACCATTATGCCATCTGCTGGTCCCATAAATAATTCTAATGCGGGTCCCAAAAAAAATTCTAAAAAAAAAAAAAAAAAAAAGAATAAAACACTGGGGCCAGCAGATGGCAGAGTGGTTAAGGTGCTGGACTCCCACATGGCCAACTGCAGTTCCATTCCTGGACCTGATGGCTTGAAATTCACGGCGAGTGAATGTGTGTGCATTCCCAAGATTCTGAGAGGAGACTAGAGAAGGGACTGCAGTGTGGCCATCCCCCTTGGGGGTGATTTTTCACCTTCTCTCTCTGTCTTTCTCTGCCTCTATCTGGCAAGCACACACACCCTATGGCAAAAAAATCTAAAAAAAACCCAACATTAAAAACCCAGAGTAAGTCATTCCAGCAGTTAGCAATAATCAGTATCATAAATAATAATATAACCCATATTACACTTATGAGAAAGAAATACATAATCACTTTCACATGTACCTAAAAGACAAGCAATAAAATAACTAATTTCTGATTAAAAAAAAAACTCTTAGTAAAATGGGAATACATGGATACTTCCTTGAGATTGTAATTATGTACACACATACACACACACACACACACACACATACATACATATATTGCCAAAAATCAGTAAAATAATAATAGTTGTATATATATATTAAAAGCCAAAAATAAAAACCCAGAGGGCCAAACAGCAGTGAAGTGGTAACACAAGACCCTACAAGTCTAAACCACACAGGGGGGTTCCGGGTTGGCATCCAGAGACCTCCCTGAGCGTGGTAAGTGCATGAGTCCCCATGATCCAGGGCGGTCTGAGTATAGAAATGGACCACAATGTAAAGACCCTATTGGGAGAGACTGTCCCTCTATCTCTCTCTCACTGATGAAAGAAATAAACTTTATTTTTTTTAAAGGATTATCTTACTCAACTTTATTTATTTACTTATTTATTTTAATTTGACCAGAGAAGGACAGAGTGAGAACAAGAGAGAGAGAAAGTGAGCAAGCAAGTCACCAGGTCTGAGACTCGAACCACGGTCAGCCAATGTGGGAGTCCAGCACCCTTAACCACCACCCCACCTGCCGATCCAAACTTTATTTTTCACCCCCTGCCCAAAAAATAAAAATAAAAATAGAAGCACAATAAGAGTTGTGAAAACAAAACTATAATTCCTGGTTTCAAATTCCAGCTCTACCACTTGACACATGAGAGTGAATTCTTTACCTGAGTTTCCTCCTGTGTGAAATGTGTACCGGTACCTACTCACAGGGATGCCATCAAGGGCGACTGCGTCGGTAACGTTAAGTACTGAGAACAGCACTTGGCACACAGAGTGGACGAGCACACGTAGGCAGGTCCACATAAGATCAAAGAGCCAAGATCAAGAATGAAAACTGGGGAACCAGCAGTTAGTGTAAAGGCTATGTCGCTGGACTCCCACGTAGTCGACCGCGGTTCGCGTCCCGGACCCGGTGGCTTAAAACTCACGCCGGGCGCGTGTGCGTGCGTGCCCAGGATCCCGAGAGGAGAATGGAGGAGAAGGGATTGCGGCGTGACCATCCCCCCCTGGGGGGTGATTTCTCGCTTTCTGACTCTAATGTCTCTCTCTGTCTGTCTGGCGAGCGCACGCGCCCTATAGTGAAAATCTCTCCAAAAAAAAAAAAAAAAAAGAATGAAAACTTAAATCCTCTCCATCAAAGTCAGGAACAAGAAAGGAAGATTGAGACCAGCTGCGGTGGCACAGACCTCAGGGCATCGTGATACCGCAGCCGTGGAAAGGCCTGGGGTTCCGACCCTGGGTGACCTGAGCACACCAGATGTCCCTGCAGGCATGCTGGTGATCCTGGTTGGCTGGAAGTTGGGGAGAGGTCCTGTCTGTCAGTCTGTCTCTCTCCTCCTCCTCCTCCTTAATAAATAAATAAACTTGGAAGAAGGGAAGGAAGGGAGGGGAGGAGGAAAGAAGGCGGAATAGAAGGAGAAATGAAGAGAGGGAGAGAAGAAGAGAGAGAGAGAGGAAAAATGGAAGAAAAGAAAGAAGGCAGGCAGGCAGGCAGACATGGCCAACCATGCAGTTCAAATCCCAGACCCAGCAGCTTGAAAAACGCACTGGGCATGTGGGTATATATGCCCCAAATCCCAAAAGGATGGAGAGATGAAAGAGGGATTGTAGTGTGATCAGACCCCATCGATGGGGTGCTCTCTTTCTCTCCCTCTGTCTCTGCTGAGCACAAGCACCTTCTGGCGATGAGAAAGAAAGAAAAAGGATTCAAATCAACACTACTATTTAAGCATTTGTTCTGAAAACACTAGCCAAGTGATCAATCAATAGAAATAGAAGTTTTATAAGTATAGAAAAATAAGAGATGGTATTATTATCTGCAAATCATAAGATACCATTTCTGAAAATACCAAGAGAATCAACTGGGAACCATTTATAAACGAATAGAAATGTATTGGATTTATTTAGTTCATTGATTATCCCAAAGTGAAATGTAGAGAAAAATATGAAAACAATTTCAAGAAGATGACTTTAACCTTTTGAAAACTCACCTTGGCAGTGTAAGTTGGGGGACTCCCATGTGCCCAGGGCTGTGCAACTTGAAACTGCATCTTCTGGGACACTGAAAAACCCTTCTCGGCAAGCGTAATGAATCTGGCTGCCCACCCTCGAGGTATAATTCCCTACAATGTAGCCATCCGGGACCTCAGGAGGGGTACCACAGTCTATTTCTGAAAATAAATTAATGCTGAAGTCATTACTTTGCACATATAAATGTTCAGAATTTATCTTCTCTCCTCAACCTCTATCCCATTCCTCATAGACACCCCCGAGCCATATTCTCAGTATGCTGGCTCATTTCCACAGGACTTCTGGGCACCTGTCCAATGACTCTTGGTTCACTCTCTGGCCTTCCAGAGACAGTTACTTCTATTAGCACACAAAGCTGGAAGAATTTAGCAATCTGTCTGCACTGATTTGTACTAAAGAAAGGGAAGCCTAGTCCAGTGGAGTAAAATATTTGAATGGCAAAATAGCATTTTCAGGGGCCAACAGGTGGCATGGAGGATAAAGTGGCTAGATCCTACATAGTCGATTCCATGGTATGAATCCCAGATGCAGCAGTTTGAAAAATCACGCCAAGCATATGTGCTTGCATGCCCAAAATCTGGAGAAGAGAATAGAAGGAAAGGGATTGTGGTGTGGCCATCCTTGCTGGGGGATGATTTCTCACTTTCCCTCTCTATGTTTCTCTCTAGAGAGTACACATGCCCTATGGCAAAATTCCTCCAGAGAGTGAACATTCCCCTTGGGAAAAAAAAAAAAAAAAAAAAATACTAAAAAAAAAATTATTTTCAGGGTCATTTTTGAGAGCCTGTTTCCAGTCTAGCAAAGTGGTTAATATCAGACTATCTGTTGACTGCTATGGCTCAGCTGCAGAGGCACAAGCGGTAGGGGCCATGCTGGGTGATGCTGGAGGCCATTCTAGAAAGCTCCAGGTTCGTGTCCAGGGTATACGGGAACATGTGGGGTGTGCCCGCAGGCGCAACCATGACACTGGCTGGCTACAGGACTTAGAGGGGGGACTGCTGCCTGAAGACCCAGTCAAGAATGTGGGTTCTCAGAAAATAAATAAAAGTAAACTTAAAAAGGAAAAGAATACCTATTAATTGGTAAAAATTCCTGAAGTTTACTGATTTCAGATTCGGGGGGGGGAGGGCAGGTGGGTTGCTGTAGGTCACGTGCACTCATAAAAGCGACACAAAGAGGGACCAGCAGTTAGCGTAATGGCTATGTCTCTGGACTCCCACGTAGTCGACCGTGGTTCGAGTCCCGGACCTGGTGGCTTAAACTCACGCTGGGCGCGTGTGCGTACGTGCCCAAGATCCCGAGAGGAGAATGTAGGAGAAGGGATTGCGGCGTGGCCATCCCCTCTGGGGGGTGATTTCTCGCTTTCTATCTCTCTGTCTCTCTCTGTCTGTCTGGCGAGCGCACGCGCCCTATAGCAAAAACCTCTCAAAA